CTAAAAGCTGCTTATGAACTCGCCGAGTCCGCTGCTGCTAAACAAAATAAAGGAAACAAACAAAGATATGATCAGAAAATAAAGTTCACACACCTGTTACCTGGAGATCGAGTTCTCATACGCAACTTCGGTTTACAAGGGAAACATAAACTAGCAGACCGCTGGGTTTCAACGCCTTATGTTGTGGAAAGTCAAATGTCAAAACCTGTGTTTCGGCTGAAACCAGAAGATGGAAATGGACCTGTCAAAATACTCCATCGTAACCATATTTTGGCCCTGGGACAGAAAGTATGTTTTGATCCAGTGCAAAACCCAGACACTGTTCCAAAGAGGAAAATGAGAAGGAGGAAAAGACAAACAAAGCACAAAGACAACGACAAAAACTCAGTCATAAACCCTGAAATGTCAGAACAAGAAAACAATGATGAGGAATACGCTGATTCAGAAGATGAAGAACGTGGAGTATGGTATGACATGCCCTTCGCAATACAAGACACAGTAAAGGACAAAGAAATGTAAGAACCATTCAGTCTAGATCTCGATATTCGATCTGAAGATCAGGTCGAAGAGCTGCAACCTGTTCAAGAGAAAAAAGCTGACAAAGAAGAGACTAGATCTGACATAGTTGAACAGTCTGACTTGCGAGAGAAAAGTAATACTGAGATAGAGACTCAAGACACTGTGACCATTGATCCAGAACCTGACTCACAAGATGGCTTACAGACTGATAGTGAGACCAGAAAATCTCAACGACTTAGGAAAGCTCCTTCTAGACTTACCTATGACACACCAGGTAGTCCTAGTATTGTTTCCCCTACAGTTAAATATGTTTCTTGTTTATACAAGTGGATAAGCTCTCCTTTCATGCCTTAGTTTGGAGTTTACCTTACATTATTACCTACCAAGCCATGAGGGCATGTCTTTATTTTGGTGGGGGGAGAGTGTAATAACCTGATTATTCAGTAAATCAGAATATTTTGTGTTTTTTCTTTTATTCACAAGAATGTATTTTATTTCATTATAATGATGCATTAAGGCATTTAATGTATTTCATTATGTGGTAAATAATTACATAATTTCATAGTTTTAGTATAAAAGTTAAAATATGCATTTGCATAGTGTTAAAAACGTTTTATAAATATATAGAGAAATGTATAGGTCGTTTATAAGATAAAAACCCAGATATATTTCATCTATTATTATTTCATGATGCTTATAGTTATTCCCTTACTATAACGAGTCGGGTGGTAAAAGGGTTACATAAGGACAAAAACTGGATGAATATCTTGAAATAAAACATCTGAACAATGACTTTAAGTGTGGTAACCGTGGTATAAATGGAATAATTGACTCTGCACGTGGTCACATCACCACCTTTCAATAATTCAACTGCCAATCAGTTATTCCTTATAGAAAAAGTGAGACATTCATCTCTAGATGATTTGTTGTGTTTTCAGTGTATGTATTAGGCCTGCGTATGTCTGGGAGTGAGTATGTTTTTTTTTTTAAATGGATGCATTCCCTGTTCATTACATCACAGGTCATGTAAAATGGGCATCTATAACATGAGTCTCATATCTTAATTGAAAATGAATTTAACTCGAGAAGTAATCTGACCAAGCTGTGCGCTTTAGTATGCCTTGATGATTGAGTTTATAACCTTTTTATATTTACCACTGCTTAATTTTCTTTCCATCAGGGTGACAGAGGTGAACGGGGTGAAAAGGTAAAACGTTTTCCCTCTCAAAGTTATCGGATAATTTTTTTCTGTGGTGTTTTGTTTTGCACACTTTTGAATCGTTTATTGTTTTGGGATTAGCCTAATTCTGTTGTTTAGATATATGGATGCAAGGGCGTAGTTTTGATTTGAACATTGGGGGGGTTGAAGTGTGAACTGTTTTAGTAGAGTCCCGGGTCATGCTCACTCATAAGGTTTATTTATTTGTTTGTTTGCTTATATATTTTTTTGTGAAATGGTCTTTTGTGCTATCATCTATGCAAAGTTGGTAAATAACAACTGCAATAAAGTAACATCATAGTTAACAATTACTTGTTTACATAGTGTACGTACACAGTATACGGTGATTCGCGCACCGCTCATGAACTGCACTTCAGTCATATTTTGCTGATAACTGCTCCGTTCGGTTCGTAAGTAAAGTTACGCTGATAAAGGCTTTTTTTTAATATTAATTAATAGCCTGATTCTAGGTTTCCATTAACCATGATATAAATATTGGGGGGGGTTGTACTTGCTAGTTTTGGTTATTGAACTACGCCCCTGTGATGGGATATGCGCATATTTGCTGTTAGAACAATATAATGTTACACTCAATGCCTGCATTATTAAAGTCAGTGCTGAAGCTCTGGAAGAGTACAACTTTGAAAACTGTTAAAGGTTGAAATGTTCACTTGACCTCCGCATCTGCTTCCTTGGCAGATGATAGACAACTGTGAACAACGAACATTTTAAAATTTATTAGACCTTGTGAAGTATCTCAAGATGAAATCTGAATCTTTTTCCAGTAAATTGGTGGAAAATGCAATCAGGCTATGATTAGATGGCTTATGTGAATTCTGAACAAAGAAATAGCACTCTGCAACTTCTCATCTGACATACTGGATGAATGTGAGTAAAAAGAGCAAATGCAGGATTGAAGACAAAGGGAATTCGAATTAGAGTGTTGCAATTATACATTTTCTCTTAATTTTATGCACTGTGATGCGTGTCTTCAAAGATTATTTCTTAAATGATTTTCACAGACAGACAAATGTACAAGACATAGTATTAGAAAGTTTAGGCTACTTGTCAGAAGCTCTTTATTCTCAGTGAAAGTCCATTCATTTTAAGGATGGTAACCCTGGTACTGCTCAAGAGCACAGTGTTAATAGAGCTGGTCAGTGTGCAATGGCCTTTACTCTTTATGCCTTGGATCACTACTAATTAGGATTATATCTTGACGTCGTTGGCAAACTTATCCTTAACCACAGGCTTCCACCAATATTTCCTTTTGAAATTGCTCATTTAGACCGATTTTTTACCATTTCATCTTAATGTGTCAAACACCCAGTTTCATACAGATCAGATGTAGACTCTATCCCACTATAGACTTGCGGTGCATCCAGACTTTCATGTGGAACTTAAAATGGCTGGAATCAAACATAGAAAGGGCAAAGAGTGCTATCACCACTACCACTTCATTGCAGAAATGACCATTTTACTTGGGCTACAATAAAATCTGACCGTTTCATTCTTTGCATAATACTTTTAAACTCACCTTTACTGTCTTTGCTTTTTAATAGATCTACCCTTAAAGCAACTGCATGTTTATTTAATGTATTTTTGTGACTTTCGAATCCCCTACAGTTAAGTGAGTGGAATTCACAGTCATAAATATATCACTGTCATAATTACAGTGGACATGTGCATTTGTTGACAAATGATTTCAAAAGTTAAGAAGAACCATGTTGACTTATAAGGTGAGCACTATTACAACCACACCAAAAAGAATAGCATAGGAAGGACAGAAATGTTTAGTTTTGTTAAAAATAAAAAGGTTTTCACATATACTTTGTGTGCTAATCGTTTAAAGTGCAGTGTTTGTGTGTAATCAAATTACACAATAGACCACATTACTCATACATTTGACAGTATAGACTATGACAATCTGGCAGACGTAGGTTTTCAAGGTTGCAAACTTTCAAAGCATACCTGCCATGAGATTTATTTATTTGCATGCTATCCTTAGATGGGACTGTTAGATGACTTTTGACATCCCGGACAAACTACAAAACTGTGTGAGGTACAGATGACATGATAATGTTAGAAAAGAGCCATGTACAGTATGTATGTTTACAGCTGTAAAAAGCATGAAATTTAGTGATAGGAGAGTAGCATGCTAAGCTAACATAACCTTGGTTGAAATCGTATTCCGGGGATGGACACGCTCAATACCCCTCTCCCCACGGCCAGCCGCTAGCTCTTGTTTTAAATACAGTAAATGAACTTCTGATTCATCTTTTAACCAAAGAGAGTTATTTTTATCTGTAATTTTATATTTTACCATAAAACAACAGTTCAATGAGGCAACACTGCTTGTGTTCAGTATGTATTAAAATAATAAAAATTGTGCTTTTTCTGTGCTTTTTCTGACAGGGAGACATGGGAGAGGAGGGGCCAAAAGGTGACCCTGGAGAGAAGGTCAGCCTACACTTATATACAAATTTAAAAGAGAATAACATGATTAACTATAACATAATTAAATGGTATGTCAGTGTGGACTGCGATATTGCTCAGTCGCTCGGCATTGCGCTGGCTCATAGATCGCGGCAGGAATTGGCTCTCCGTCATCGGTGGGCTCGGGCTTTAGCTACGCACAGCGGGGAGATGGTGGGCTGGGCTCTGGATCTGGAGTGGATCTGGCGAGATCATCCTCGGGAGTGACGATGAGAGGCGATCCGTTTCTCACCAGAATCCACTCCACAAACACAGTAAAATCCGCTCGAGGACCATCTTTGGACGACGGCGCTCTGCATGTGGTGTTTAAAGGGGTCATATGATGCTATTTTAAAGATCATTATTTTGTGTATTTGGTGTAACAGAATATGTTGACATGCTTTAATGTTCAAAAAACATGGATTTGAGACTTTAGTCTTTGCAACTTTACAGATCTTCTTTATGCACCAAGAGCTTGTAACACTCCAAAGAGAAAGGAAAACTTGAAATCGCATCATATGACCCCTTTAAACTTGCGTCGTAGAACGCACAGAGCGTGTCGTATGGGTAGCTGGTGGTGTTAGCTAGCAGCTAGAACAGTCTAGTATGGTCCTCGAGCGATCTCTCCCCCTGCTCCAGCAGGAGGAGGAGATATTCCAGGCGAAGTAGGGCATCCATGAGGGAACAACGGGGAAAAAAAGACACTGAGTAAAAACGGGAAACAAAACGGAGGGCAGACACATGGAGGTTACGGTTTTGGTCAGGTCTTCTGTCATGTCACACTGTTGAGGGGACACGTTGGAGTCACGAGGAAACGTTTAACAGTCTTTAATCACAAAACACAGGAGATAATCCACAATAGGCGCTTGAGCCAACACACGTAGAGAACGAGTAGACCTGACAAACACAAACTGAACAGACTAGGACTTAAGTACACAGGGAAATGAGGATAATTAACTAAACACAGCTGGAAACAAATGATGAACTAATCAGGGAACCTAATGGAAACAGGAAGGACCAAATAAGGAGAAACAGGACCAGAAACGGGCAAAACACGACACAGAACAGTCCAGAATCCTGACACTTGGTTTATTATGAGTATTAAACAGTGATCAAAACCTCGTGTATTTGTTAAGGCATGTTGCAAAGATTTTTATGAGACCGATTAAGACGTTTATTTATCACATTTCATATCATGCTGCAGTTCTTCTGAAAAACAAATGAAATACAAATAACAAAAGCAAAGAAAACAGTTTTCTTTTTGCTGACAAAACAGAAGTGGTATTGGCTGTAATAGGTTTTTGTACGTCATTAGTCTGCATGGCATTTCACGCTTGCAAACTGGTGGCTTCTGTAATGGAATAACATAAGGCCTGGAGACATAATTTAATCAGAACCAGATGTGATACATTGTTACCAATGTAAATCTCTGCCAATACTTGACAGGTGCACAACAGAATGCACTTTGATGTATTGTGCTTTCAACTTTATACTGATCTATAAAGTAGAAAAAGATATTGCTTTGGGCCTGACAGTTCATCAGCAACAGATGAGGGGAAATAATTTTATATAATTTCTTTGCATAGCTTACTCATCTATTCATTGTGCACTAATAATATTCATAGAAAAGGCAAAAGATGAAGCGTGAAGGTGCTGTTTAGGACAGAGCAGAAGTAGTTTACTGACATCCAGCTATAACTGTTATGTAGCTTATGGCAGAAAAAAAATGCAGCAATTAAAGCTTGCATTATAATGATGACTATAAAAGCCAGGGCATGCTTTCCTCAACTGCCTCTGAGCTCAAGATGTGAAGTGGAACAGCAAATTCAGCAGCAGGCAGTGGGCCTAGCTGCTCTTTCCCACCAGCACCAATCATCCTCTGCCGGCTGGTCCACACTGCACTGCACAAGTCCCCAAGACGTCCGCCTTAATGTTATTACGTTTTCATTTTATTTCTGCTGTTTCAATGAAACCAAAGAGAGCTAAAGCATGCATTACTTCATTCTTTGGTGCTTATAGCAGAAAAAAAGACAAGCGTAGATGTAGGTAGCCAAAACAACACTTATTAGTGGTGGCTACCCTTACCAAAAAGTAGTATACTTCAAGTTTATTTTATTAAGTATACTTAAGTAAAGTTCAAGTATATTTTTAAGTATACTTTATGTAGTAAGTATACAAATATCAGTGTACTAGTAGTATACTTGTAAGTGTACTATTTCAATACTCCTTGGGACTAAATTGGCCCACTTTCTAGTATATAAAAGTATACTTTTAAGTATACTTTAAGTATAACAGTAGTAAACTTTGAATACACAACTAGTTTACATCTATGTTTTTAGTTTGTACTTAGCACACTTGAATAAACTTCTTTTTCGTAAGGGTACTTTAAAACAGCACTAACCTTAAAAACCCTCTGGGGTCGACAAAAGCGCCGGCGCGTTTTGTTGCATTTTTTCAGAAAGCCCCTAAAGAAACTTAAATCACTCCGTTGTACAGATAAGAGCAATACATCAATCGAATCTGTAAAGGGTCTACTTTTATTTGTATACACACATAATAACAACAAAACGTTATGCATTTATAAAATAAAGAAAACAAACAGGGTCATTTAGAAACGCGTCACAAAAATAAACTGAAACTCAGCGAACACTGGACACAAAGACATGAGATATTTATGTATAGAAAGCTTGACATGTCTACTTTTAAATGAAGCAAGTCTTATCGAAAACAAATATTATGTGATAAAGTAATCCATGTCCAGTCTTTCCTGTCTGGCTTCATTATCTCTAATTAGATCATGCCCACGCGCTACTTTTGCTTTTGATATTACAATAGTCCACGTGAGACGCGTGGCATGTAAACCCCACATCACAACAAACAAAGCAGCAAGACTTTTCCTCAAGTTCATCTCGGCTACTGTTCATTTCTGGAAGAAGACGCGCTGAGAGGAATAAGACAGAATTTACCTCAAGAAGAAGACCGAATTACCTCAGATGAAGAGGTGCTGAGAGGAATAAGCTTTATACTTGGAACACCTCAAAAAAAGAAGAACGCGGCGGCTTGATCCAGCGGAGATCATTTACATGAGTAAGTCTTTTCTTATTAACCTACATTCATTAGTTGTCACATAACTTGTACACATTTTACTAGTTAGACTTTTTCCAAACTAATTCCTGACTAAATGTATAATCAAGTGAAACATGTAGATTCATTCACTGCATCTAAATGTATCACGATGCCAGGATGTTTTTTTTTTATGTTGTATAAAATCGACAGCAATACGATATAAAAGTAAAATGAGTTATAATGTTAATGGCATAATGTTAGAGTAAGAATGATTAGACAAAACTTTACTGTGACACACTCTGTTCGCGAATATATGTAGATGTTTATAGCTATAGTTTCCTATATATAAAATGTTTTTGAATTGTATAATAGGCCTACAAAGCATGCTTGTGTTTATGACTATAACTAAGCTTCTGTTCGAGAATATCTGCTCTGGTGTAAATGTTTTGAATGTGTTATACCCGGTCATTGGCGTTCGCGATCGTCGGAGGTGTAAATGTATCAAGTAAGCTGTAAATATCACTGATAAGTGACCCATTGATGACATATACGCGCGTCGATTCTTATCAGTGATACAATTTATTATCAGCTATGCATCTTCTGGTAATTGCTAACAACTGTTTCAATTTTTGTTTAGGACTGTGGCTGCATCACCAGCATCTTGCACAAGAAAGGCACACGCGTGTCGTTCACTTTTGAGTTCGCTGGAAAATCATACTGAGTAAGTGCACAGTATAGTAATTGTACTTTTATTATGCCTATATGGTAATATTATTTGTGGTTGATAGTGTTAAAATATAGTTTCTTTGTTATTGGCATTATGTTTTCTCATCAAGTAGGCCTATGCATATACTAAGGTACTGTGAAAAATAAATGCTAACGATTGTTTATAACAATCTTTTAGGACTGTGAATACACTACTCTCACCTTCACCTGCATCTCACACAGGAAGGGGACGCTCATTCAGTTTTCAACTCCATTCAGAATCTTAGAGTAAGTGTGCATTCACTATTTTACAGATGTTACTTTAATTTGATTTATTTGCTGTATGGTAAAATATGTGTGCTATGTGGTGTGTGTATGTGTAACTAGTATCAGTGACCATCACAATGATGTTAATAATGTAGTTTATCATGGAAACAGAGACTGATGTTGACATGTTCCACGGGCTCTGAGATTCCTGCCCGCACAGGAACCTGGACCACAGCTAAGACCATGTGATGCACACACTCCCATGAGTCTCTTCAAATGTTTTTTGTTTGTTTGTTTTTCTTCAGAGCACATAAACATTATACACTTTGGAAATGCCAGGTATGTGATGTTCATTTATATATTTCAACATGACACACTACCAGTCAAAAGTTTTTGAACAGTAAGATGTTTAATGTTTTTGTAATGAATTCTCTTCTGCTCACCAAGCCTGCATTTATTTGATCCAAACTACAGTAAAAGCAGTAATACTGTGAAATATTTGTATTATTTAAAATGACTGCTTTCTATTTCAATATATTTTAAAATGTAATTTATTCCTGTGATCAAAGCTAAATTTTCAGCATCATTCAGCATCATTTTCAGCTTGGATTCAGTATATATACAGTGTTGCTTGAAAGTTTGTGAAACCTTTAGAATTTTCTAAATAACCCTTTTCAAGTCCTGAAAGTAGACAAAGAGAACCCAAACAAACAAATCAGACAAAAATATTTTCTTTGCCTTTTATTTATTGAGAAAAATGATCCAGTGTTACATATCTGTGAGTGGCAAAAGTATGTGAATCTTTGCTTTCAGTATCTGGTCTGACCCCCTTTTGCAACAATAACTGCAGGTAATGTTCCTTGTAACTGCTGATCAGTCCTGCACAACCACCTGAAGGAGTTTTAGACCATTCCTCAGTACAGAACCACAACTCTGTGATGTTGGTGGGTTTCCTCCTATGAACTGCTTGCTTCAGGTCCTTCCACAAAATTTAAATTGGATTAAGGTCCGGAATTTGACTCAATCATTCCAAAACATTAACTTTGTTCTTCTTTAATCATTCTTTGGTAGAAAGACTTGTTTGCTTGGGGTCGTTGTCTTGCTGCATGACCCACTTTCTCTTGAGATTCAGTTCTTGGACAGATGTCAGGACATTTTCCTTCAGAATTTGCTGGTATAATTCAGAATTCATTGTTCCATCAATAATACCAGCACCACCGTGTTTCACAGATGGGATAAGGTTCTTATGCTGGAATGCAGAGTGTTCTTTTCTTCAAACATAACGCTTCTCATTTAAACCAACAAGTTATATTTTGGTCTCATCTGTTCACAAAACATTTCTCCAGTAGCCCTCTGGCTTGTCCGCATGATCTTTAGCAAACTCCAGACTGGCAGCAATGTTATTTTTGGATGCACCATGCACATCATGGTTGTTCAGTGTTCTCCTGATGGTGGACTCATGAACATTAAGATTAGCCAATGTGAGAAAGGCTTTTAGTTGCTTAGAAGTTACCCTGGGTTCCTTTGCAGCCTTGCAGACCATTACACGTCTTGCTTTTGGAGTGATCTTGTTGGTCAGTCACTCCTGGGGAGGGTAACAGTGGTCTTGAATTTCCTCCATTTGTACACAATCTGTCTGACTGTGGATTTGTGGAGTCAAAACTCTTTAGAGATGTTTTTGTAAACTTTTCTAGCCTGATGAACAACATCAACTCTTTTTCTGAGGTCCTCAGAGATCTCCTTTGCTCATGCCATGATACACTTCCACAAACATGATCAGACTTTGATAGATCCCTGTTCTTTAAATAAAACATGGCACACACTGACACCAGATAGTAATTTCACTGATTGAAAACAACTCTGAAAAACAGATGGACTCTAATTTCACCTTCAAATTAACCCCCTGGGGTCGACAGTTCCGCCAGCGGAACTTTTTGCAGATTTGAATGATGACAGCGAAAAGAACTAAAATGCTCCTTCATACTTAACCGTACATATAAGAGTAATACAGCATTTAAATCTGTAAAGGGTCTACTTTTATTTGTGTACACTCACAAAACCACCAAAAAAATCAAAATTGATTGATTGAATATCAATCAAAAGCACAATTTTGTGCTTTTGCAAAATAAAGAAAATAAACAGGGTATGCTTTTAGCCGTCTCATTCTCTGCGCATATCTGTTTGAAACGCGTCACTAAAATGAACTGAAACTCAGCGAATATTTAACACACACACATGACAGATATATCTATAGAAAGCTTAACATGTCTACTTTTAAACGTTCTATAAAATAGACAGCAACAATATAAAAGTAATGTGAGTTGTAATGTTAATATGTTGAATGTTTTATACTCGGTCATTGGCATTCGCGATCGTCTGATGTGTAAACGTATCAAGTAAGCTGTAAATAAGTGATGCATCGACAGACATATACGCGCGTCCTTTCTTAATTCACATACTTTTGCCACTCACAGATATGTAATATTCTGTCATTTTCCTGAATAAATAAATGGCAAAGAACACATTTTGTCTCACTTGTTTGTTTGGGTTCTCTTTGTCTACTTTCAGGACTTGTGTGAAATTTTTTATTATGTTTTGTGTCATATTTATGCTGAAATATAGAAAAAATCTAAAGGGTTCACAAACTTTCAAGCGACACTGTATATATATATATATATATATATATATATAGAGAGAGGGAGAGAGAAATTAAAACTTTTATTTAGCACAAAAGTGATGATAAAGACATTTATAATGTTACAAAAGATGCTTTTCTTCTGAACTTTCTTTTCATCAAAGAAACCTGAAAATATTATACTCAGCTGTTTTCAACATAATAATAATAATACATTTTTTGAGCAGCAAACCAGAATATTAGAATGATTTCTGAAGGATCATGTGACTGGAGTAATGATGCTAAAAATTCAGCTTTGATTGTTCCTAATAAACTGTTTAACTGCACTCGCAAGTGAATCTCAAGTTATTTTGTGTGATAAATGGAGTAATGATGCTAAAAATTCAGCTTTGATTGTTCCTAATAAACTGTTTAACTGCACTCGCAAGTGGATCTCAAGTTATTTTGTGTGATAGTTAAATATATTCTAAATAAACTACAAACAAAAAAAATATAAATAAATTTTGTCCTCAGATTCTTTCTTGTAACTCTTCCCTCTCAGTCACATACCTGACTTAAAGGCTCATTATGCAGCTCATTATGTGGGCCTTTGTCTTCTCAGGTGTGAATCACACTAATATTCATGATCATTCACGCCTCCTTGCATATGCCCTTTCGAAACAAAAACTCCCTTGACTTTGAAATCCTAGAATCGCTGGGTGGTGCATACATATTTGCCTTAATAGAACAATGTTATGACATTATGTTGTGACAATTTCACAGCAGAATGACCTTTCTGCACAAATGATGTGATACAATATACCCAACCAATGACAATCTCCTTCCTCCTTTTTTTTACATTCCTGTTGGTATTATGACAGTGTGAGAAGCTTTAACGAATGGACGTGGACACTAATCTGCTTTGCTTTTTACTCACATAATCTGATATTTGGATAACAGTACAGCTGCTTTATGCTCCAGTTTAACTAGAGGCTTTTGCGTGCTCAGCAGCATTATGACTTCCAGAATTTCTCCCCAGGTGGAATGAAGAAGATACTACACTTTCAAATGGCTTAGTTTATCAAATATATTTACCATGATTTTTATATCTCTAACAGGGTGATGCTGGATCCTCTGCTGCTGGAATCAAGGTAAGACAGGACCTCTGAAATATGTTGTCTCTAAGTCTATGGTTTTAATAAATCCTACTTGTTATCTTTCATTTGGTGTATGCAGATGAGCCCTTATAAGCATTCTTATTATTACAGGGTGAGCCTGGCGAGCCAGGGCGCGGAGGACAAAAGGTAAAATTGCAGAGCTCATATTGTACTCCTAGCCAGAGTATACACTTATGAAAGATATTGTTTGGAACAATGTGTCTTAATGACAGCTGATTCATTAATTGAGAACACTGATAATTTGTTTTAATAAAACATGTTGTCATTAATGATTAATGAAAGAGCATTATAGTGTACTAACTCTTTTGCACCTTATGGCTGTAAAAGGCAAAGCTTACCATCTTTTGCACCATCATTTGCTTGCTGCTTATAAGCATGTGAATGTCAGGCACCAACCTGACGAAAAAATAAAGTGTTTTTAGCGAGGACAACTTTATAGCCCATTCTCAGATGAACTGAGAACACACTTCTCCACCCGATAAAAAGCATAAATCTACACCATGGCATTACAGTTTGTCTACTTTGTAGTTTTTCTTTATGTGTGTTTGCATCACACTTTATTACTTGTTCTTGTTCTGTCCAGTAAAACACTGTTAGGCTTCTCTTAAAGGGGTCATATGATGCGATTTCAATTTATCCTTTCTCTTTCAAGTGTTACAAGCTCTTGGTGCATAAAGAAGATCTGTAAAGTTGCAAAGACTAAAGTCTCAAATCCAAAGAGATATTCTTTATAAAAGTTAAGAGTCAACCACGCCTACCTAAAACATCTCGTTCTAACACGCCCCCACATGTCTATGTCACGATGTGGGAACAAAATAATGTTCTTTTTAGCAATATCATATGACCCCTTTAATTAATCTGCTCCAAATTCAGTACTAGACCTAAGAGAACCGTTTGAGTTTTACTCTAAAGGCCCGTTCACACCAAGCAAGATAACCATAAAGATAACGATAAAGAGTCCACTCCACAGCTATAAAGATAAAGGCACAGAGAAAGATATAATTGGAATCACTTCCAGAACTATTTTTTTTCCAGCTGATGAACGATACAAACATTGACAGCCAATCAGAATCCATCCTGCTATAATGAGCTCGAGAATTTAAAGCGGCAGATGCACGTGCGCTTAGAATAAACAGACTATATCGTTCGCTGGTGTGGACGCTAATATCTTTATATTTATAGTTATCTTTATAGTCATGGGTCGTGGCCCGGGTTACTTTTTGAGGTCTGGTACAAATATGACATGGGCTAGAAAAATACATAGGCTATAAGGCTAATATGTATGCACGTTTAAATTATTAAAAGATCACGATCTCGATTCAAACACACGCAATCTTTTTCCTAAATGACGGTGATTCTGCTATGTCTATTAAACCTTTGAAATCAAAATCACACCGGAATATTTAAACCTGCTTTTGCGCAGCCGCTGATCCAGAGAGAGCAGCGCTCATCATGTAAAGCTTTATGTTTAAAACAGCTTCACAGTCTACACAGCAGGCTACGTTTCTGTGATGCAAACATTAAATAATAACAAAATTGGGATAAAAGTTTATAGTCCTGATATAGACTGTTGTTGCGGGAGTCGCGATCAAAATGGGTCTTTGAAAGTAATGATACGCTGCAAATAATGATTGTATATGTTACTGTTAAAGGGGTCATATGACATTGCTAAAAAGAACATTATTGGTAACACTTTATAATAAAGTTCCGTTGTAAGGCATTTATAAGTGATTAGTTAATGATGAACTAATCATTTACTAAACATAACTATGTGTTCATAAAATATTAATAAGTGATTTCTTAATATTTTATCTTATGTTTTGTAGATTGAGTTATAAATAATTTACAAGTGATTAGATGATGATTAACTAATCATTTACAAAACATGACTATACGTTCACAAATGATTAAGTAATATGCTAATGATTTACCAATCTGTCACAAGTTATCTTAAAAAATAGCATATCATGAAATAATCAAACAGATCCTTAGTAAATGGTTAATAAGTTACTAGTTAATATATTATTAATCACTTATAAATCATTGAAATGTCAACATTGTACTATTATCTCACAGCGTTAAAAATACTCCATGTGTGTCAGAAAAGACATCTGTCTACACCCTCACCAGTCAGCCCTTACATTGCTGTACACACTACAAAGTATTCCAAACCTGTTGTGTAAACACATTAATAAATAATTTACAAAGCTTTCTGCATCCCATATTCTAAAGTGTAAACTACTCATCAGTTGTAAATGTTTTACTCATCATTCGTAGATCTTTCACCCCAGTGTGTACACACACAAAACCTGTAACCGGCAGGTTTGTAAAGGTAACAAACCTGCCAAGGTTTGTTGGCAACAACAATACTACAGCGAGAATCAAAGTTACGCCTTCTTTCTTTGTGTAAACATTTGGGCGGTGTTATGCAAATCTTCCCACACAGTGACGTAGACATGTGGGGACGTGTTTAAACGAGGCATTTTAGGAGGGCATGGACGAGTCATAACTTTTATAAAGAATATCTCTTCTGGGTTTGAGACTTTAGTCTTTGCAACTTTAGGGATCTTATCTATTCACGAACAGCTTGTAACATTCCAAAGAGAAAGGAAAACTTGAAATCATTCAAGAGATTCAAAACGAAACAAGTCTTCATTTATTTATTTCAAATGATTTTTTTTTTACATAATTAGGCTCATTTGTTTAAATTAATATTTTAATCATATTAAACTAATTTATAACACTAATAAAACATTTTGTTAGAAACTCAAGTAAATTACATATTTTGTTTGGTTGTCTGTTTTGTTTTCAGAATTGTGGGAAAATCATAGCTTAAAAATACATAGGCTAATATATGTGGCAACTAACTAATACCATTAGTAGGTAATATATTTATTATTTTATAAGTAATACTACTGTTTCTAATATTAAAATCTTTTGGTTTGTTCCGCAATCCCTGTTTATAGTTATCGTTCTTGGTGTGAACGGGGCTTTACAGAAATGTTCATCATATTTACAGCACTTAAAGGAAGTCCTGTGAAAACATACAATCCTCAAACTGCAGTCTGGGATCTATTTAACCTCACCATTTGAGAACTAGTCCTACTCACTTTTTACATGGGTATTTATTTCGGCAGAGTATGTACGACTAACTGTGACGTGACTTGATGTATTATGTTAATGCTTCTGAAAATTAAACTTTTCTACCTCTCATGGTGTACTAATATACTTATATTATGCAGTAATATAATAATATATTTTATAGTCTAATGGGATCCATTTTATCCATATTATCGTTTAGCATGAGAGATAAGCTGAACCTTCAGATATAATTATACAGCCCTTTCAATTTTAGTAGGCTTCTATATGCATTGTGTGTGACGGTACCATTAATTTGAAAAGTCTGATGGAAATGATCCAACAACAACACCAATAGACAGCCAATGTGTCTTTGCTTTAACTAGAATCTTGATGGTTTTCACTTTAGTAGGTGAACCAGGGCCAATCTTTTGATACTGTGGGTTTAGAGGAAACCAATTGTGGTTGTGCTGGGTTTCCAGGCTCATCGCCAGAAGTGGTGGCTTGGTTTGGCTGTAATTTGTTGCACTTTTCCTACATAGGGTGAGCCAGGACTTCCAGGGCTGCCTGGACTCCCCGGGATTAAGGTAAATGTTGTCTTCATAAACCTAAAACATCTGATCCCACCCATTCCCCATACATCAGCAGCCAATATCATGTCTAGAGACTCCATAACAATTGTTGAAGTGTGACTATATTGTGTCCATGTATCTTTCACATTAACCTGTTTGACATGGCTTCATTTAGTTTTAAACAGAATGTACTTTATATTGGTTTATCCAAATGCACATTATTGGGATTCATTGGTTGTGGAATAATTTGGTAATGATTCATCAGTGAATCAGATTGTTACTTTGTCCAGTATATCCTAGTATTCTTATAAATACCCAGGCTTGTGTTATGATTTTTCAAACAGAATTCACAACAGTCAAAAAGTGCATTAACATCCTGAGTGTGTAAAATCATACAGAACACTCTTCCAGAGATTCCACCACTTTGTATATTTTAATGGAGCATTGTTTTCTTGCCTTCTGAACTGAAAATTAAATGCTGATTGCAGATGTTCATGTTCCAAATTGGCAAAATATATTTTTGAAAATAATGAGAAAGTGAGTGGAAAAACACTGGAGCAATGGGAAAATAAATTAGCAATTGAAAGAATGCTCTAATAGGCATGAGCTAATGCTTGTTGCTGTTTTGGTTTGTTTGCCTGTATACTTTTGTATGCTTACAACCTGCTGGCCTTGTAAAAATCCCTCCCATTTTATATAACCCTGGTTTCACTTAGAGGCTGAAGGCTCTGAATGCAAACATTGTGCAAATGTGATGCTCTCGTGTTCTTTTTAAGGTTTCTGAAATTGAGACACTTACATGTGCACACAGTGTTCATTGATTGAATAAGAGAGGTTAGAATGTATTCATTAATTGGCACTGAAAATATCAACACATTCTCACTCCCAACTCGTCACATATTGACACTTGGTCAGGACTCCATTGGTGTTGCTTTTTGGTACAAGGTACCCCTTTAGCGTCACTTTTCGACGTGCAGGGTCCTCCGTTGTTTTCAGTTGTCTTAATTTAAAGGGCACCTATTATGCAAAATCCACTTTTACATGGTGTTTGGACATAAATGTGTGTTGGCAGTGTGTGAAAAAAACCACCCTACAATGATAAAAATCCACCCAATCCTCATTTTTAATCCCCTTTAAACCAAGTCAGTCTCACTAGGCTTGCCATTTTGATTCTCATGCAGTGTGACGTCACATTGCATAGGGCCGTGCCACGGGGGTTGATTGACATCCCTGCATTGCTATAGTTTCTGCCCTCAGCGGTTGTACGCTGTCCTCCATTTTCTCCACGCTCAAGCAGCTGTAACGTCAACAATGGCCCTGTCCCAAATGGAACACTTCGTGTGCACTTTCGGTCTTGCGGACTTACAATGGCCGCCACGTGCGCGTGTCCCAATCGTCATTTTAGCGTTCAAAAGGGTGCTCGCAAGCACCCCCTTTGCGGCCGTTATGCGCCCTCAATCCGCACTTCTGCCGAGCCTGCACTGGGACGAGCTCCGCAGACTTCTACCCGACAGTCAAAGCAGCATTACGTCACGAAAGTGCGGACTCAGAGGAAGACTGTGAGGGTTTAGGGTGCGATTTGGGACAGGGCCAATGTCTAGTAAGCAATCCCGGTGCTCTGTGTTTGGATGTAAGACTGAACATAAGAGTCTTCATTTTCTCCCAACATCTGAGCTGCTGAGGATGCTGTGGATTACTTCCTTTTTCAAGGTAATGCGCCTAAAAATCTACCTAAATACGTGTATCCCTCCAGACTCCTTTGTGAATGTCATGTCATCATAGTGCTTAGCATTTTAAATGTATTTGTGTGCCTACATTAAGTATTTTTTAACTGATCAGCGACGCGCTTGTGAGATTAGTTTGCGCCGTTCTTAGCATGAGATTCGTTCGGTAGCGCGGCTTGGTCAATTGATCAGCGCCAATGACAGGTCAGCGCGGCGCGAGCTCTGTAACATACAGGGGCGTAAATTTCGTCTAACAGTTGGAGGGACAATAAACATAAAATTTCTCAAGAGCAATTTTTGAAGGGGACACAAATAATCCAGCTAAAATTGTACTTGTAAGGATATGTATACACAGAGGAAAGCCTTACTAATATTAGTGCAGCAGGGAGACCGTGCCTAATTAGACAACTTCAAGCTGTTGTGGTCGTGCGGCTCGCGCCGTGACGGCGCTCATGTCCATTGTAGTCATTACTATCCGTCACAGTGTTGCCAAGTCCGCAGTTTTCCCGTGGAATTGGGCTACTTTATCACTGTTGCCATGGGTTGTTTTTCATGTCCACAGGTTGAAGTGACTCCAATAACGTGTATTTTAGCCCCCGGAACGCGATTTTTACCAGGGGAACCCCTCGAAACGCGGTTGGTTTGGGCTAGCTTTGGGCTAGTTTTGAGTAGCAATTGGGCGGGTTTTGTTGTGAAAACCTGGCAGCCCTTTCTGTCAAGCAGGTAACATTATTGTTGCTAACATAGCGGACTCATCGAAAAATACATTGGCATCATGTATTAAAGAGAAAATAATCACTTCATCCTACGTTTAAGTGAATAAAATAGCCTTGACAGCCTTACTTACTGGAGTTCCACAACTATTGACTTCTCTCCCACCGGACTTGTGCGTGTGTAGCCTAGGTGATGTAAAAGAGGAAAGCATGCATTTGGACCAAAGCACTGTGAGGCAAGACTCAAAATGTTTCTTAACTTAAAATGCATTTTTGCCCCGTTTGTGTTGTTTTACTACTTACACAATTATTTAAAGTATTAAACATTGTTATTTACAATACACAGCGTGGATTTTAATCATAATTTTAAGGGGGACAACCCTCAGATTGGGGGGGGGGGGGGGGC